GCTAGTATATCATGCTTATTTGCTAAACCTGTGTCTCTAACCTTCACAATTAGATGACACAACTGTAATTATCATGCACGATCTGCATATTATTTCCATTCTACAGATGAGAAGACTGAGGCTGACGATGCAGCAGCCTGCACAAGGACACCCGTTTACACATCCACGGAGCTGACCTGAACCCACAAACGCTCAAGGGAGACGCGATTCTCACTCCTGCCCATCCGAACCCCGTAGCCCAGGCTTGTGGTCCCAAATTTCCAATGGACAATGGACAAATAGTGGATGGTCCCTGAATCCTAACAGAAAAGAAGGGTGTCCTTGGTAATACTCTGCAGATAAAGGCAGACTTCATCAGGAAACTTCTACAGTGAAGTTAAATTCTGCTTATTGGATGAAATGGATGCTACTGATTCTTTTTTTTCCTCCGGAAGAGTGGGATTGCATTACACTTACATTTGGGGGTTATTTCCTTATCAATGAGGCTTGTTTTGAAAGGGGCAGGTAGTGGGGGAAACGGGCCAAGCCTATAGTCTATTTAAAATGCCTTGGGTCACAGACCTCTTTAATAAAACCCATTATTCCTGCCCAGAGACAGCCCTTTCATTTTCAGATTGGTAGATTTTATTTTTGCAAATCTATCATATCACCGTGAATTACACTGTACCTTAAAAAAAGGAATGTTCCAAGAGAAAGCTAAAGCAATCTGCGAGGTCTTTGTGTCTGGTCAGGGGGACCTTATAGGTTTTCCTAACAACTTGACAAAACAGGCCGGGAGAACATAAAAACTTCTGGGCACTCTTATTTCATTTCTGATTCTTTTCATTTTTCAAAAATTAGCTGCCAATCTACACATTTTCATGATTACTCCACGGAGGATGGCTGGCGCAAATAACAATGAAAAACAAGGTTTCAACAGGACAGCAGGAAATCCAATTTGGCTTTCGCGGGGGCCTCCCCTCCCCCTTATGTAACGGAGCCACAGAAAACCCTTCCAGTGGTTCTGCCTTGAACTTGCTTTTGGAGGGCAAATTCGCTCAGATGTGCAATTCTGTCCTCACATTTTTTCCCCCTTTTGGGGCAGGAACTGATATGCAAAAGAGGAAGGTGGAGGGGAGGGGGACCGAAGAAGCCTTTTCAGAATACAGCTAAAAAGCGTGCTGTTTGGAAACATTCTCGGCAAAGAGATACCGAATGCAGAAGGAGAAGAACACAAGGATGCTGTTAAATGCCATCACACAACCACCTGTCTCCAAGTGAGGTTAAAAAAAAAAAAAAAAGATGAGAGATATGGCATTCGAATTTTGGGTTGTTTTTTTAACTAGAGAAGGCAGAGTTGGCTCCCCGTGCTCACACATTTGCTCTCAAAAGCAGGTCCAGAGCAGGATTTACAGGGGCCCCCAGAAGGTTCTGGCATCATGGGACTCCCCTATGCAGAGAAGAGACTTATGTAGAGGCTCTAGGAAAAAGACAAGTGAAGAAAGTCCCGGCGCTAGTCCACAGGCTCTCAAACTACTCCCAGTAACTACTGCTTCTACAGCCACCAGAGTGGGGACCTTCATCCTCCAATTTACATACGCTTTTATAGGACTTTTCCTGATTCTGTCACCAGCGGCTACTTCCTAAGCAGCTTCCTCAAATATAAATGGCTTTTTACACTTCACTTCATCACTTAAGTAAAAAGAAAAAAAGAAATCTAAGTTTAGAATCATTCTCTTCTACCCTCTTCCCGATTTCAGAAGACCTTCATGCATGGCCAGCGACTGTGCAGCAAAAATGAGATTTACACCTTTAAAAAAAACATAAAAACTGCCCCCAAATAATGATGTGCACCGACATTCCCAAGAGTGCTGATGTTTTGTCATTTCTTATTACAAAGTGATGAGACAGAGGAGCCCAGGGACAATTTTGTGTTCCTATTTTTTCTCTCCCCCCCAAGGTGTTTTTTTCACTTAAAAAAGAAAGGATCGATACAAAGTTAGAGTGCTCGCTCAGTGTTTTAACTCAGCAAGGAAACGCGCTGTCCTCACAGAGAAAACAGTATCTTTTCTGGATGGCTTAGCAGTGGCTTTGTTTAAGGTGTTAGTAGATCATTTCAGGGGCACACGTGGAAACTTAAAATTAAAACTGAACATGCAAATCCACTTGTACACCCAAAACATTCCCCCAAATGGTAGTACTACAGGGCCGCTGGCCTTTTTTTTTTTTTTTTTTTTTAATGAAGGGGTTGTGTGAGTGGCCTTGACAAAAGATACATTTAACTGAGATCCAAAGAAGGAAATGTCTCCAAATCCCCACAGGCGTGGCCGGTTGTGTACAAATCCCTCCAAATATGCTTGTTTCCAATAACTGAGACCCACTGCTGATTTGCCCGCTGAGAACATTCTCGTCGGTCTCCTCACTTCCGGTTAGTCTCTGGCTGTCTGGTTGGGAGTGAGTCAAGATCCACACACCGAGAGAGAACCACGGGGAGAAAGTGTGTCCTGGAGCAAACACGTCACCCAGACTCCCATTCACCCCTTGTTCTTGGCAATGGAAGAAGGCTGCTTGGTGGAGAAAGAGGGGCAGTTTCCTCCTGGCTCCAGGGAGGAGAACGGAGCGGCCTTGCTGACTGACTCCCTCCCCTAAAGCCACAGAGCTTCCGGGCCAAAGGGAAACGCTCTCTGCAGGAAGACACACGATTCTGAGCTCCTCCGTTCTTTCTGGCAACAGCCACAAATCACCGAGTAAAATCACTTAAAACGAGGTCACTTGGCGAGGACCATTAAAAGTCACCCAGGTGCACGTTTTCCCACTGTGTTCCCACCACACAGAAAGGTGCCTGCAGGCCTCTGGAATTCACCTTGCTCCCCCAACCTCACGCGGCCCACCCGGTGAGGTCAAGTCAGGCTGTTTCTGAGACGAGCAGAAGGCGGAATCAGTGTATCCGTTACTTTGGGAGAACGACTCGTATAGCAGTAAACCGAATAATTACAGAGAAGAAGACCGCGGGATGCTGTCGGTGGCCTGTTCCGTTGGATCAGCTTCGCAAGGAAAGGTCTAGATGTCCATTTCAGGCTGGGAGAGACAGAGAGCTCGGTCCCAGCGGGGCCGTAACCCAGACGTGCGCTGTGTGCCCAACACCCCAGCACAAATGACAAGGGCCATACGAACACACACTCCTGGTGGGTATAGGGCCCAACGAGCACCGCTTGGACCCCGTTCCGCAGTGCACAACCGTTAGCCTCCAAGGTCCTCATGCAAACCCGGGTGTGGGTGTTACCCGTAGAACCTCACAGAAGCTTACAACTTCCGCATTTGCAGGGTCACAAAAACCGGCATGCCTTTATTTATAATTTGGCAGAAAATGCTCCTGTCCATCAGGCGGCGAAATACATGAGGGCTCAGTTTGAACAGTACACGCGGATTTTTCCGCCGCCCTTAGGTAAGTGTAAATTACTGTCAATGCTTCGTTTTTAAGTATCTTGTTTCCTTTCTTTCACAAAAAGCCTCCCCTGCTCTCACTGAAGCTGGAGGTTCTCGAAATCCAGGGGAAACAACAGACAATCCCAGGCAGCAGCAGGAAGACGCGTGTAAAAAGCCCTCGAAATTTCCAACCCAGTTTTAATAGGGAATTAATTGCCTTATCGCTAACAACCTCCCATAATTAGCGGTCTGATTTCAGTTTAATGAAGTGGGATACACAATTTATCAATACGGTTTCGCCGTGGATCTCTTTGCCTATCACTTTAATTTTCCGCCCTACACAAAAACTCAGGCTCGAAGGAGGAGGAAAAGGTCACTTTTTCAGGCTAAAAGTGGGGCTCACACCAGGGGGTCGCTGCCTCTCTCTCCTTTCCATTAAAAGCCCTGGAGGACATTTCAGAGTGTCTGAGAAGCAAGCTTACAAAAGATCAATGGCTCATTTTCATTTCTCCTGAAGATTCTAAAGTAAACATCCCCCCCCCCCCAACACTCCCAACCTTAGGGCTAAGGAGGTGGTATCTTATGCGCTATTTCACCTGTTCCTGCTTGGCCAGTGAAAATCCGACTCAAGGACAAAAACGCACCCCAAAACTGACGAATCGATGTCCATGGCGGAACTCTTAGCTTTAGAAAGGACTCAGACCAACCTGGCTCAATTTCAAGTCCTTTCAAGCTAACAGAAAACACCTTGGAGTGGTGATATCGGTATGATCTCCAAAGTGGAGCTTAAAGCCCCCATCTCAGTATGGAAAAGAGCACTTAAAAACACTTTACGCAGGGGCACCTGGGTGGCTCAGCCGGTTGAGCGTCCGGCTTCAGCTCAGGTCATGATCTCACAGTTTGTGCGTTTGAGCCCCGCGTCGGGCTCTGTGCTGATAGCTCGGAGCCTGGAGCCTGCTTGGAATTCTGTGTCTCCCTCTCTCTCTGCCCCTCCCCTGTTCATGCTGTCTTCCTCTCTCTCTCTCTCTCTCTCTCTCTCTCAAAAATAAATAAAACATTTAAAAAAATACGCAGCTCTTTCTCAGTTGTTTGTATAGACTCTGCAAACCAGCTCCCCCCCACCCAGAAAGAAGAAAGAAGGAGAGAGAGGGAGGGAGGAGGGCAGGGAAGGATCCTGGGTACGCCCCTCACATCCCACGGCCCCCCAAGCCCCTCGGGGCCCCACAGCTCGGCACCACGTCCATTACTGCGCACTTTTGGCGCGAAAACGGCAGGAAGAGAGTCAGGTTTCCTTTAGCAGGGAGCTGATTGCTGGAGAAAAAAAATGAATCATTGCACACTTGAGTGAGAAAATATGAAGAAGGCGCTTTTCCACTAATTAGGGCCCATTCAGGGCAATCCGTTAAGCGGTGGCCCCTGTACCATGAGCCGTCAAGAGGTGGAGCACAGGAAAACCCGAAAGGGGTGCGTGCAAATGGTGCATAATGATGCTCTCCATCACCCTGGACAGGCGGCAGAGGGGTGCAGGGCAAGGGGCTGGGCGCGGGCTGGGCTCTCCCCGCCCCATCTGTGCAGAGAAAGCGCGGGGCACTCACCAGTGAGCCTGGGCCTCAGGGAGACCTGGGGCGCTGCCTTCCGAGGACTGGGGTCTTCGGACCCTGGGCCGCGTGGAGGCCCCTTAGCTCCGCCGCCTGGGAGGGACCCTGCTGTCCCCGGGGTGGCGGGCCTGTGTCCTCCACCACCGCCTTCACACTCCACTGGGGCGGAGAGAAAGGTGGAACCATTCGCCAAATATGCAAAAAAGGAGGGAAGATAGTTTTCTCTCAGGAAAACACGGGCAGGAAGGGAGCCTGCGCTTCCTGTCCTGACCAAAGTGGGTTCAGAGATTATGAGGACGGCCCAGTTGTGGGGGGAGACAGCGGGAGCTCTCTTCCTCAGTCAACAGGCACCGCGGGCTCCCCCAAGGCCATCAGGGCCACGCGGGAGAAGGGAAACAGGGCCGGACCCGAGCCGGGCAACACAGAGGCCCCTAGGCCTGGCCCTCTGTGCTTTCGCCACGTCTAACAGCACATTGCAGGGCGGGTCACCGGGGGCGCCTGCGGCAGCCGCGGCCCGTTTATCACCGTACAATCAGACAGGGACAAAAAGCCAACGGAAGCCTGTAGGCTGCGGCCTGTAGGCGAAGGCCCTTCTCAGGGGAGACCGGCCAGAGACACAGGCACAGAAGCCGGGTGGCCCTGCCCCCCCGCCCCCCCCCCGTAGGAACTTCTGCCTGGTTTGGCGGCCTTTTCACTGGTCCTTGTCCCCAAGCGGCGCCTCATGCCTCACGTGTCGTCACATCTTAAAGACATTTGTCAGAGCAGTGCGCAACGTTGAGAAACCGAGTCGGAGGAGGGCTATGCCAAGGGCGGCTCAGGAGGGAGGGTGTCGCAGGAGCCGCAGAGAGATGACGGGGGCAGGGGTGTTTCTCACACTGCACAGGACACCACCCCCAGCTCTGGTCTCCACGGGGAACAGCCGTGTCGCAGTGGCTGGAGCTGGGTCTGGGGTCGCCAGTGCCCGACGGGCCCCACTGCTATGACCCACCCTATCTGACCTTTAAACCTGTCTTGCGTGTGTGTGTGTGTGTGCACATGTGCATGCAACACCGATACTCCGAAACTCAGCCTCCCTGCATCTAGATCACACACTCACATGTGCCTGTTGTGAGCAGACACAATGATCTGCCTCACGGTGTAGACAATACCAGTAGGTTTCCTCCTGAAGCCGGAGAGGGTGGCTCACTGATCGTTTCTACATCTCGTGTTTTCTCCCGTAAAACGGAAATGGCACGATCACACACACGCAACACACACCTGCCCGAGGGCTCCAAAAATACCAACAGACCGGGAGGCGCCTGGGTGGCTAGTTTGTTAAGCGTCCGACTGCAGCTCAGGTCACCATCTCACGGTTCGTGGGTTCGAGCCCCATGTGGGGCTCTGTGCTGACAGCCCGGAGCCTAGAGCCTGCTTGCGATTCTGTCTCCCTGTCTCTCTGTTCCTCCCCTGCTCACACTCTGTCTCTCACAAATAAAGCTTAAAATTTTTTTTAAAAATACCAATGGACTGACGCTGGACAGGGAGTAACCTTAAGGGCCAGGGCCGGAGAGAAACAGCAGCTCATGGCCAGAAGCCCGAGTCACAATCCCTGGGAAGGCCTGTGACCCTCACACATCACAAGTGTTGCCAGAGAACCAGCAAGGGGCTTGCTTTGCTCTTTGTGAACCAGAGCCACCAAGGGAATCTCCATTAGAATTAGGCAACGAAAACCAAACCTTATTTCGTAGCGAAATGATTTCAGAATCACAAAGCTTACAGGAAAGGGAAAATGCACACGCGCCATGGAACAGTGAAATCCTTGATGATTCTGGGTTCACGGCAAGTCCATCGCCTGCACACACAGTCTTGGGCAGACACCCAAAGCACTCACATCGTTTACCTCTTAACTCAACAGAATAAGGAGGAAAATCCATCTCGCTTTAGTAAAAGGCAAAAGCCAACCCAACAAACAGAACCGAAAAGGAGGGGCTTCATTACCCACGTCAGGTCTGTGTGATGTGAAGATGACCTGCCCCCATGCCTCCCTCTGCACGCCAGCTCTGTGTGTGTGTGTGTGTGTGTGTGCAGAGACTCAGATCTCTTTATTTCCTGAATCTGTTCACACACACCTAATTCTGAAGTACACACGGGACCCATGTTCGTGTGGGGGTAGGGGCATTTCATCACATGGGCTCCACCATGTTCCCTCAAAATTCCAAAGTTTGACATGTATGCTGACAACATGCAGCTGCGTTGTCTAAACACGAAACACGCAAATCCAAATCAAGGGGGAAAAATTCCCCCAAAATAACCATCACCCTCGAACGCTTAAGTCTCTGGCCAAGTCTCGGCGGGGCTTCAGACCTCTGGGCCAGGAAATTCACTAAGCTCTTAATGTCCCAGCAAAGGAACTGGGACCCAGGACAGCCACGGTTTACCTTCCCTCACGAGGCTGCGGACCAACTTCTCCAAAGAGCCAACCCTCACACACGCACACTTTTACTTCCAGACCCGCAAACTCGTCCCGCGAGGCCGCGCTGTTGGTGGGCTATTATTGCTACCGCGCTTCTGAATTCCGAGACTGTATAATTAATTCCTCAAGGTGCAGCATTTCACTAAAGACGCTGGTGAATTAAACAAACTAGCATGCGAGAGTTTTCAGAGCCCCTGCCTTCAACTACCACCATGAAACAAAAGGAGAAGAAAACATGGCCATTTAACTCAATAACATGTTTTCACATCAGCAAGGGTGGGCTTTAAGACCGGGAAGCACAAGCACATTTCTGGCCACGTAAAAAAGGTATAAACACATACGTTCCTGGAAAGTTTTGAGATCAGAAACATTATATCAAACCAGAATTGTATAGGATTTTAACCGGTGGCATCATTATTTACATCTGTGCATACGAGTTCTGTTTTAACACGTTCTGCATCTTCTATGATGTAAGCAGGTGATCTTCCTGTCACGGACATTTGTCACCATTCACCATTTTAGCCACGTTACCAAATAATCTGATTTGTCCCTGAAACAGTTCTGACGCACTGAATACCAAAACATCCTGAAATCAGTACCTTTAAAATTCCATCTAAAAGATGAGTCCCAGGAACCCGATCAGACATTTTCAAACAAAAGAAAGAAAAAAAATGCAAGAGGCTCCAACCCGTTTCCTGCTCGTTTCTCTCTCCTCTCAACCCCAAACCAAGTGAACCCATCCTTGTAACCATTTCCATTTCCATGAAAGTTTAAACATTGTCCATATCACCTATTTTCTACTTCCATAATTTTTCTTCTCCTTTAACAGAAGTGGGTTTGGGTAGCAAGTAGGTATTTTCTTGAGGAGAAGTTTGAGTCTCCAAGTTCAGAAACAAGGTGTCTGGGAGGAGATACACGGTTCGGAGGGCAGGGGGTGTGGGCATAAGCAACGTGCTGGCTGAGCAAAGCAGCTGCCTTGAATTCGCTCTGGGCCGGCTACAGCCCAGGGCGCAGAAGGAAAACTGGGCTAGCAAGCTGTGCCCGTCCAAACGCTATGCGCTTTCTACAACTGGAAGAAAAACCAATCTCACGCTCACGAGGTTCCCCAGGAATCACCAAGGATCCTGGGCTTTTTTTTTTTAAGTACATTTTCAAATGCACTCGCAAGCAACCTAATGCCTCCTTGCCAGCGAGTTTCGAAACCGGACCGCCAAAATGACAGTGAGCAAAGGTACCACTAACTTTTCAAACCGGCATCATTCTTCATTTTGCAGAAAGCAAGTTCAGACGCGATCTAATGGTTTTTCAGGAGAGGCGAAACGCTCTCCCCTCCAAGATCAGAGAAAGCTCTCCCTTGGTGACTTTCTAAAGCCTGGCTTCCTATAGGTACATGTCAATTTAAATACAACTGGAGCTGGACCTCCTCCCCACGGTGACAGCGGGCGGCTCACTGCCCGCCTGGCCCTGCGCCTGCGGTCGCCGCACAAGTTGGCGGCGGAGGCTTTGACAAAAGTCAGCGCTCTCACTGTCCCCAGAAAGGAGAGGCGGACCTGAGCGAAAGAGGGGGTCACAGCTCTCACCACCTTGTCTTTTCATTCTCTCTTTTTGAAGCCACGAGCTACTCTGAGTTTTCCTACTGAAATTCAATTGGAAAACACTCACGTGGACTTGCGCGTCGCACTTTGGGGGCCGAGACCGATCCTTCGGCGCGAAGAGCAACCTCGGGGTCGGGGCTCCCCGTGCCCTGCCGGGCTCGCCCGGGGCCGGCCGCCTCGCCACCTCCGAGGTCCCGCCCGGGCAGGTCGGCGCTGCGCGGGGACCCAGGCACCGTCGCCGCAGTCGCCGCCCCAGGCGCGGGCCGCGCATGCACTTGTTAGAGCGCCCTGCTAACTTGGCCGCCGAGCTCTTCCCAGCTTTCTTTCACAATGACTTCCTGAAGTTGCTCACTCGCCTGGTTCCCCATTTCTCCGCCACCCTCCCCACCCCACCCCCTCCCGCCCCCCGCCGGCTCCGACCCGGCTTCGGCGCTCGCGGCCCGGCCGGCCGCCCAGCGCGCACAGCGCCGCCCACGGGCCGCGTACCTGGGCCACTCCGCGCCCCGCGCCCCTGCGCCCCGCCACCTGCGGCCGCCCGGATCGGCGCTCCGCAAACTTCGGGGCGGCGCGCACCTCCGGCCCACGGCCCCGCCGCCCCGCAGCCGCCCCGCCCCGCGCGCTCGGCCCTGCCCTCGCCCCGGCGGCTGCCCCGGCACGCGGAGCGGGACCCGAGCGCGGCGCGCGGGGCGCACGGGCGGGAGCTGGGGGGGCATAGGAGCGGGACGCAGAGGCGGGTGCGCCGCTGGACGCGAATGCGGGCGCGCAGCGGGGCGCGCCGCCCCCGCCGCCGGGTCGCCGGCTCCCGCGGTGCCGTCCGACCGCAACTCCGCGACCGCGCGCTCAAACTTTGCCGGGGCGCGAGGCTGGGTCCCGGCCCCCTCGCCACCCCCCACCTCCCACCCCTGCCCTCGGGGCCGCCCGGGGCGGCGGCGGGCGCGGGCCGTACCTGCTGGCGCCGCCGCCGGCTGCAGCCCGCTCGCCCGCGCCGGGCCCGCTCGGCGCGCCGCCGCCACCCCCGCGCGCAGCGCGCCCGGGCCCTCCCCTCGCCGCCGCGCTTCCTCATTCCAGCGCCGCATCGCGCCGCGGCCCCGCGCGGCAGGTGGCGGCCGGTTCTCCGCGCCCCGGACCCGGTGGCTGCTTCGGCCGCGGCGCCGCGGGACCCGCGCTTAACCCTTGGGGGCCCGGCGCGGGCGACGCGCGCGGGGCGGCCGGGGGCGGGAGGGCAGGGCCGGTCCGCTCGCCCCGCCGCGGGGACTCTGGGGACCCGGGACATCGTCGTGAGGCACTTTCCCCGAGTGTCTGGGGGTGGGGCGTCCACTGCCCGCCTGGCTCCGCTTCCCTGGAACTGGGGCCACTGGGCTCCCGGCTTCTGGCTGCGACCCCGGGCGATGAGTGCCCACCCGAGGGGGTGGGAAAAGTTGATGCTCCTCGAGTGAGGGAAGGTGCGATTCATTTTCCCAGACAACCAATGGAATACCTCTCGTCTCTCTTCCCTCCCACCTGCTCAGGCAGAAGTTAGGATCGCGCCTTCCATCTTGGTCTGCGTGC